CTCTCTCTCTCTCTCTCTCTCTCTCTCTCTCTCTCTCTCTCTCTCTCCCCTCTTTTGATAGCATGGTATATTTAAATATAAATATTTCTAGCTTGTAATCCCAGACATATTAACAGGCAGTTGAGCTTAAAGACTGATTTTTAACTCCCTAGTTGCCTGTATGGAATCTGGATGAGATGTGTTTTATATATTTAACCTTCATTTTTTGTTAATCTACAGTGGTAGATCAGGCAAATACCATTTTCATGACTGTGGACCAAGCTATTGTACTTTAGCTTAAACATGGAATTATGAAAGTAGATGGCATACTGCCAGCTTTTGTTTTTTCTTAGAGTGTTGTACAAATGTTACTATGTCAGCTCAGACATACTCAATGTGATCTTCGTGTGCTAAGAAAGGCAATGAAAATACTTGAGGCGGTGCTACCATCTCTGTTCCTTTCATTTCATTACATAGTTTTGGGAAGGAAAAAAAGAAAGGTCTCAATGACGTACAAATCAGAAACACTACATACGTCCAGTCAGATCAGAAGGGGATTGATGTTGCTGAGTATCTTTGTTTGGTTTGCTAGTATGAGAATAAGATGTGTGTTTGGTAGTTTACTGGGAGCTGATCCCACAGATCAGAGTTAAAGAGCATGGAGAGTGAAATGAGAAAGAAGCCTAGACCAAAATAATGGTGGCTAAATGAGTCCACTACTGTTGACCAGGGGGAACTTTATTTCTCTGGGACCCCTGAAAGGGTACAGACACCTCCCAGAATTTCTGCCTGAAGGATGTTCAGCAAGAGGTTTATCAGCTGGCTTTTCCCCCTCGGCTGTGAATTGCTCCCAGAGGCATTAACAGCCCCACATTCTGGGCTGCACTGGTAACATATGAGACAGAAAGACACAGCTGTCACAGAGGTACACAATTTAAAGGCCAGGAGAACTAAGTTGGCACAAATGGGCTGTCTATGCAGCTGTGGCTGAAATCAGAGGTGGACCAAGGGGGTGTGATACAGGGAGCCAGAGGCATCTGTTATAATTCCTTTTACTGTATTTTAAATCATAAAATAAATCACATTTTGCTCCTAATGAGCTATCCCCAAGAAGAAGATGTTTTGCATTTTAAAGGCATTACAGAGTGATACCCAATTGTCATAGAACCAGAGTGAACTCTGTTTCAAAACCAAGTTCTGCATTAATAAATTGTCCACTTCAGAGTGAGAAGTCTATCTTCGTCCACCTGTACATTTGAGACACTATATAATAAAATTTGAAGTATGACTAAAATGTTGGAATAGTTAGAGATAATATAACATTTTATGATACCTATACTTATTATTAACTATATTTCATATACAAGGAAGTGTCTGTGAATATACAAACATATGTATAATTATTATCTTTTCTATCTGAAAATAACCCAGTTAGCAGTGTCATTATTTATGTGAAATGTGTGACTTAAATTTGCATGTTGGAGCATAATCTGACATGGATGGTATGCCAGAGAAACCGATTTAACACATTAAAGTGAATCGGGGCTGTTGGTTTGTTTGTTTTTGATACACGGACTCTTAACAGATTAAAATAAAGTCAAGTAAAGGCTCCCATTGTGTTTTGACCTAGAAGATCATATGTTCAGTGGAGGAATGTAATTGGTGACCGCTATAAGGAGCAGCTGTTAAAACAAATAACATTTAAATTTTAAAGAATGTACATTAGCATGCAAATTCCTACTGAAGGAAGTGAAAGTGGAGGGGGAAAGGAGAAAGGGCAGCAGAAACAGGCAGGACAGGAAAACCAGGGAAGTGGCAGGTGGCAAGGCAGACATACCAAAGAGTAGACAGAATCAAACTATGAGATGAAGAGAATTGCTGACAGTGGAGAGTATCTTTTAGAGCAAACCACATGCTGAGCACAGAATGCAAGCCAAGTGAGCAGCCCCAGTTAATTTGAGGCATGACAAATTCCTGAATTATCAAAGAGTAAATGACTGCATCTTCTCACCTGAATGCAATTGCCTCTATGGTTTCATTTAGCTCTGAAGTCTTGATAAATAAAAGTTCTGATTGGATCTGCTCTTTGTTCAGAAACTATTCTCTGATTTACCAATTCATCGTTGTCCAAACTTCTTAACAGATATGTAAAACCTGCCACTCTAAGTTTTCAGACTTATTTCTTATTCTTTTACTTTACTCACCAGTGATCTGGACTTCTGTCTAGTAATGCAAATTCTGTGATTTGTATCAAGCCTTCCAAGTGATTTTGATGTATTTTGGTTCACATACTCAGATTGGTCTGGGCTGAGGCCCAAGAATTTGCGTTTTTAATAAGTTCCTGGGTAATGTTGATGCTGCTAATGCAGACCTTACCTTGAGAAGCTCTATGTAAAATAAATGACCCAGGCTGTCAATACAAGCTCTACATTGCAGTTTGAGTTGAAGACTGATTGCAGGGGCCAGCCGAGTGGCTCAGTTGGTTAAGAGCAGCGGGGTCGCCAATTCGATTCCCACATGGGCCAGTGAGCTATGCCAGAGCTGAGCTGTGGCTGAGCTGCCAACAGGTGCAGGATGGCTCAGCTGGTGAGGGCATGTGCTCCTAAGAACAAGGTTGCAGGTTCAACTCCCACATGGGATGGTGGGCTATGCTTACCCGCAACTAAGATTCAACACAACATCTTGAGCTGAGCGGCTGGGAGATGCCGATGCATGGCCAGATGGTGACTAGACTAGGAGCTGAGCTAGCTGCACCCTCCACAGCTAAGATTGAAGGACAACAACTTGTCTGTTCCTCTTCCCCAATTCCCCAACACTGTTCCCCTTCTCCAATTCCCCAGTAAAATCTTAAAAAAAAAAAATCAGGCACAAAAGTATATGTGTCCATCAGTTGACTAATGGCATACACGAGTATTTGACAATATAGTTGAAAGAGCAGTGTTTTGAATACAGAAAGATCTGAGTTCAAAACCTATCTCTGGGGCCGGCCGAATGACGCTTTGGTTAGGAGATGGCTTGGGACGCCAACTCTGAGCAGAAGGGCCCTGGTTGGGATCTCACGTGAGAGCCAGTGACGCTGCGCCCTCTACAGCTAAGATAGTGAACAACAGCTCGGCCTGGAGTTGGGCTACAATAAGTCGCCAGCAGCGGCATAGGCTGCAGTGGAGCTGGCTGGCAGCAGACGTGAGCTTTCTTGAGCTGGTGTGAGCTGCCAAGAGCAGCTGTCCAATGGCCAGTGAGCGACTGCCCCACCCGGGAACAGCGCAATGATCACAATACCAACATGGGCCAGTGAAGCAACGTCCTCCACAACTAGACTGAAGAACAAAAGGACAGCAACTTGTCTGTTCCCCTTCCCCGATTCCCCAATGCTGTTCCCCTCCCCCAATTCCCCAATAAGAAATCTTTAAAAAACAAACAAACAAACAAAATCTAACTCTCACTTACTAATAGTATAAGCTTGGGGAATTTACTGAACCACTCTATCTACCGTAGTATCTTCATCTGTATAATGGGGGGTGGAGGAGGCATTGTTATTGTTACTTACAAGGTTGCTTTAAAGACTAGAGATAATCTAAAATATATCTAGCTCTTACATGCTCACTTGCTGAACACATATAGGCCATTAAGCTGACCAGAACCCAAACCATGATTTTAAGATTAATGGAGATTACATTTTTCTTTGCCAATATAATTCTATAAGGCTGAGAAATGTTTATTTGAGACTCTAAAAGATGAACATACCGGTAGTTTAGAAAATGTATCCACAATTTAGTCAACTGAGACTTAGAAGATTAATGGGAAAATTCAACATATTTTTCATCTAGACAGGCTGTTTGGTTCTATACATTGCCAATGATTACACATAGAAAGCGAGGCCCTTTTCTTCAAGAATGACTCCTTCAGTGTCAAAACGTAATTTGCAAAATACATTCTGTCTTCTGGCTTGTTATCTACAATAGACACAGTTTGGGCAGAAATTAAAATGATTCTTCAAGGCATAAGTTTAGCTTAAATAAATGTTTATACACTCTTTATATCCAATTCTAGTAAGTTCCAAGATATTTCTTTCTTTCTTGTCCTCTAAAAAATTACTTTTATAGTCAATTTGCCTGATGCAGCCTTATACCCAGAGGCAAAAGAAATCAAATTTTGGTCAATAGATGGTTCATTTACTACAGGATTCCTGAAAATATTGAATTTTTTTAAGTGTTTTTGAGGTTGAATTGTCACTTTGATATTGGTTAACCCTAGTACTTTCTCTGCAGAAATTCAGAGCTGCCTGCTTAACAGAAGGAGATCAATAAAGTTTGGTTTGGAGGTAATATTTAATCAATTTTAGCATAGGATTTAACCTGTTGGGTTTTTTTCTATTTCAATCTTTTATAAACCCTCTGCAAGTTAATGTGTTTTGAGGGAAAGCTTACTATTTTATTCTTCTGTACTTTTTATGTCAGGAATAACTTGGGAGCTATGAACTACTGGTACTGTCTGAGTATCTTGATTATTTCATTCATACATCTGTAAGATAACTAAAATCTAATTGCTGAATGCTGTGTTTATTTGTCATGTTTCAGAGACATATCTCCATCAAGCTGAAAATTATACTGATGAGGTTGTTTCAAGCCCTAGGAAATTCTCCTCTCTCCTCTCCTCTCCTCTCCCGTCTGTCTGTCTGTCTGTCTGTCTGTCTGTCTGTCTGTCTCTCTCTCTCTCTCTCTCTCTCTCTCTCTTTTTCTCTCCCCGCCCCCCATAGTGATATTCTTTACTTAGACAACCCCATCTTCCACAGTAGCGTAGTTATTTCTACATAGACCAATTATTCCTAAAATTGGCATTTTTTTATGAAATGACCTATTAAG